AGGTAGAAAAGCACAGTGGGTTTCTCACCCACACACAGGAGCTCCAGAAGGTTCTTGGTGTGCAAACACTGACCTGAGTGCCTGAACTTTGTGAAGTTGTGATAAATATCTTCTGTGGGAGACCTGCTGAGCTCTGAAAGGCTGTTCATGCATAAAATCAGAGATCCTGGCTCTGCCTTATCCTTCAGAGACTGAAACCTCGGAATAAAATGAGACTTTTCTGCCTTTTTAAAATGAATATTAATAGTACAAAATCTAGTTTATAGCTCAGGACTTCCTAAGTGCAAGAGAAATATTGAAATATTTAAGGCAACAACAGCAAAATTCAAATTTGCTTCAAACAAAGTGTGTGGGATCAGAACCCCTTGTGTTTAGTCAGTAGAAAAATGGGGTTTTATGTGCTTGGGTTTACTGGATAAATTGTGAGCAGCATCTTCAAAGATTTAACTGTTACCTGGATAAATTGCTTTATCCAGAGTGCTGAAAGCAGCATCTTCAAAGATTTAACTGTTAAAAGGTCTGGTTAATCTGTGTTGAGGATTTGTCTTTATTTTCTAAACTAATGACTAATGAGTTTGCATGAGAATTAAGGAAAAACCGCAGGGCACAAAGCTGAAAGTATTTTTATTGCCTTAGAAATTATAGCAACAAAAGGGGCACCCTGGGCTTGTGCACCTGAAGATTTAAACCTTTTCCAAATTCAAGTTTATCACTTGAGCTTTGGAATGAGAGCAGCTTGTTTTGCTGATTTCCTGAGAGTTTATCCAGCTTTTTTGACTTTCTCTGTGGATACAAAATGCTGTCTGAATACTTCTTTCCGTGTTACTCCTCAGAACAAATCCCACCTTTCTTCATCTCCTTTTATTTTAAATTGTCATTACGCAGTTCCAAAGGAACACTTAATAGCAGGTTATCCTCAAATGGACTGAAAAACATCACAAAACAACAGGCTCTGCATTCCAACCACTCTGAGCATTTTAGTGAATTTAACAGCTTCACTGCCTAACAGCCAGAAGGTTGAAATAATTTTATGTTGTGTGAAAAGCTCCCAAAGCTTTATGCACAGCACAGCTCGTGCTGAAGGGACAGGTGGGTAAAAAGTGATTTTTCTCGGAGTTTTTAATTGCTCGCAGTCTGGAGCTGAGGTGTTGAATTTCAATGAGCGGCAATACCTGGCTCCTGTTAAATTTTAAACCTTCATTTGGAATGTGAACTTTATGGGGTGGATGAACAGGAAGAGGTCTAAGGTTCATTTGAGCTGTCCCAAAGGGAGTTTGCACGTGCTGTTCCCAGCACCGCTGGCCTGGGACAGCCTGGGAATTCTCCTTGGGTAAGTTTGGTTCCATCTGCTCTGAAATGGGAATGCTGGGTGAGAGGGTTTTCTATGCAGAAACAAGAAATTAGAGAAATAATCCCTGCAATGCTTGCTCTGATCAAAAGGGGGAATTGCTTTGGCAGAGGAGGGTAAATGTGGTTCCCCCTCTGCTCTTCCCCAGTCCTCTGGGCCACAATGAAGCTCAGAAGTGCAAGAAAAATGTTTATTTGCTTTAGGAACGTGTTGTTCTTACGCAGCTGTTGATTTACAGCTGGGAGCCAATACAGAATTCTCCTTCCCTTCTTGCAGGAGTTTTGTGCTTTCCCAAGCCCAGCCTCAGAGGCTGATTTCTGTATTTCTGTTTTTCAAGGATTTTTATAACTGTTGATCACTAATTTCACTTTCCTGAATGCTTCAGCCTGCTCTCCTCTCTCTCACGACTGCAACAATGACTTCTGGGGAGGCACAAAGAGAGGGCAGTGCCAGGTGATGTCTCCCAAATGCCAAACGTGTCCCCAAGCCAGGTGCTGTGCTCTCAGAAAGGTCATTTTCAATAAGGTGGAGCCCTTGATGGCCTCAGAGAAGCAGCTGGTCAAAAGAAGGTGGTTGAGGAAAAAAATTAAATGAAATTTTGATTAATTGGCTTTTTATTCCTTGCAGAAAACTGCAAATTCTTTGGCAAAAACAAAAGGGAGAAGAGAAAACCCATCCCTTTATTTGGTTTAATTATCAAGTACACTTCATGGAAATGTGCTATTTGCACTTTTGCTACCCAAAAGTTTTCCCCAAAATAGATGTTACTGGATAAAGTTGCTCTTTGGAATGAAAAGATGTAATTTTGTGGAGGTTTATTTTATCCCATATTTATATTTCTGGGATGTTTTACATGGATGATTTCTATTTCTGCGTGCAGTGCAGCAGAGCTGTGACTGCAGGCAGTGATACATAATTAAATTAGCTGGATTTAACATTTCCATCCTGCCAAGAGAGACATTTACCCCAGTCTGAGCTCCCAGACAAGTTTGTGCTGCTGCTTTGCCGTGATTTCAGAGCCAGCAGAGCAGGGGGGTCTGGCCAGGAGCCCCTCCAGCCTTCCCTGGGGCAGAAGGAGCTGAGCAGGAACCCTGGGGAGCCCCTGGAGCTGCCACAGGGGGATCCAGGAGAGCTCCACAGGATAAATGCCCAGGAAATTCAATTATCACCCACAAAGCGCCCATTTCAGCGGGGACAGTGACATCTTGTGGGCTCAGCTTGCAAGTCTGGCCAGGAATTCAGCGCTGGCCGCTTCAAAAGTTGGTTTTTACTGCCCTTTTCTGCTTCTGCCCGGGACTGGGGAGGGTATAAACACCCAGCAGCTTGGTGTTGGAGTGTCTGCCTGTAAGAAATTATGAGATGCTGCCCAGGTGATGGGCAAGGTCACTTTTATATTTCAGGAAGTTCTCGGGAAAGTCTCTCACAGTGAAATTAAGAGACTCCTCGTGCTAGTTGTGAATCAGATTTAAACTTAAAGCCTGCTGTTGGTTCCTCCTTTCAACCCCAAATGTGGAGCGTGAACCTTGTGTTTTCCTCCCTCTGGATTTACAGCTGAGTGTTCCAGAGGTCACAAAGAGGTTTTCTGTGATCTGGATTTGAAATTGAGTGTTCCAGAGGTCACAAAGATCTCTTTTCCTCCGTTTGGATTTACAGCTGACTGTTCCAGATGTCATAAAGATGTTTTCAGTGGTCTGGATTGAAGCTGAGTGTTTTACAGGAGGTTACCCAGCTCTGTCTGTGTTTTCCTTGATCTGGATTTAAAATTGAGTGTTCCAGATGTCACAAAGATGTTTTCTGTGATCTGGATTTAAAGCTGAGTGTTCCAAATGAGGTCAAACAGCTCTGTTTGTGTTTTCCTCCATCTGAATTTTAGATGAGTGTTCCAGAGGTCACAAAGATGTTTTTTGTGATCTGGATTTACAGCTGAGTGTTCCAGAGGTCACAAAGAGGTTTTCTGTGATCTGGATTTACAGCTGAGTGTTCCAGAGGTCACAAAGAGGTTTTCTGTGATCTGGATTTACAGCTGAGTGTTCCAGAGGAGGTTCCCTTGCTCTGTCTGTGTTTTCCTTGATCTGGATTTAAAATTGAGTGTTCCAGAGGAGGTCAGACAGATCTGTTTTCTCTGATCTGGATTTAAGCTGAGTGTTCCAGAGGTCCCAAAGAGATTTTAAACTGTTTTAAACTGGTTTTAAGATGAGTGTTTTAGAGGAGGTTACTCAGCTCTATCTGTGTTTTCCTTGACCTAGATTTAAAGCTGAGTCTTCCAGAAGCTGCAAAGATGTTTTCCTCAATCTGGATTTAAGATGAGTGTTCCAGAAGTCACAAAGATGTTTTCTGTGATCTGGATTTAAACTGAGTGTTCCAGAGGTCCTAAAGCTGTTTTCTTCAATCTGGATTTAAGCTGAGTGTTTTAAAGGAGGTCAGACAGATCTGTCTGTGTTTTCCTCCATCTGGATTTAAATTGAGTGTTCCAAAGGAGGTCAAACAGCTCTGTTTGTGTTTTCCTCCATCTGAATTTTAGATGAGTGCTCCAGAGGTCACAAAGATATCTTCCTCAATCTGAATTGAAGCTGAGGGTTTTAGAGGAGGTTGGACAGATCTGTTTCCTATGAGCTGGATTTAAGCTTAGTGCTCTTGAGGTCACAAAGATGTTTCTTTGTGATCTGGATTGAAGCTGAGTGTTCCAAAGGAGGTCAAACAGCTCTGTTTGTGTTTTCCTCCATCTGGATTTAAATTGAGTGTTCCAAAGGAGGTCAGACAGATCTGTCTGTGTTTTCCTCTGTCTGGTTTTAAAATTGAGTGTTCCAGAGGTCACTAAGATGTTTTCCTCAATCTGAATTGAAGCTGAGTGTTTTAGAGGAGGTTGGACAGATCTGTTTCCTATGATCTGGATTTAAGCTTAGTGTTCTTGAGGTCACAAAGATGTTTTTTTGTGATCTGGATTGAAGCTGAGTGTTCCAAAGGAGGTCAGACAGATCTGTTTTCCTCAATCTGGATTTAAGCTGAGTGTTTTACAGGAGGTCACCCAGCTCTGTCTGTGTTTTCCTCAGTCTGGATTTAAAATTGAGTGTTCCAGAGGTCACTAAGATGTTTTCCTCAATCTGAATTTAAGACTGAGGAAAGAGGAGGTTAGACAGATCTATTTTCTATTATCTGGATTTAAACTGAATATTGCAGAGGTCACAAAGATGTTTTCCTCAATCTGGATTTAAACTGAGTGTTCCAGAGGAGGTCAGACAGATGTTTCCTATGATCTGGATTTAAAATTGAGTGTTTTAGGGGAGGTCAGACAGATCTGTTTTCCTCAATCTGGATTTAAACTGAGTGTTCCAGAGGAGGTTCCCTTGCTCTGTCTGTGTTTTCCTTGATCTGGATTTAAAACTGAGTGTTCCAGAGGTCACAAAGATATTTTCCTCATACTGAATTGAAGCTGAGTGTTACAAAGGAGGTCAGACAGATCTGTTTTCTATGATCTGGATTGAAGCTGAGTGTTTTAGAGGAGGTCAGACAAATCTGTTTTCCTCAATCTGGATTGAAGCTGGGTGTTTTACAGGCGGTTACCCAGCTCTGTCTGCGTTTTGCTCAGTCTGGATTGAAGCTGAGTGTCCCCAGGAGCCTGCCCAGCTCTGACTGTGCCTGTTCTGTGTTCCAGCAGCCAGCAGAGCAGCCAGCAGAGCAGCCACGACGATGACTCTGCCCGCTTCCTGAGCCCCTCCATGCGCGAGGACAGGTGAGTCTGTGCCCGAGTGAAACCTCACCTGCCGAGCTGCTTTCTTTTCCTTGTATTTCTCACAGCTGGTTAACAAAAAATGGGGTTTAAATTGGTCTTATCAATGTCTAAAAAGGCGCATTTTTCATCACCTTGAATGTGAGACAATGAATCCAGACAGTATTTTTGTCTAAAAAGCTGCATTTTCCATCACCTTGAACATGGGACAATGCATCCAGCCCCTGAAATAGCCAGAATTTTCTTTTGGGGGCTCATTCCCCAAACTCCAGCTGCTGCAGCAGCTTCATCAGACGTGCTGTGTGCTGGCAACCAGCACCTCTGATCCTTAAAAACCCACAAATGGAATTTCCTGGGGGGATCCTGTCCTCAGCAAAGACACCTCTGAGCCTGGTTGTTTTGTTCACTTTTGATGTGTTGTGGCAGTCCTGAACTCTAGATCTAAGCTGGGTTAATTTGTGTGCAGCACCTGGGTGAGAACTGCAGTGAAGTTCCAGAAGAAACTTTAATTTGGGTTGATTAATGACAGTTTCAAATTGCAGCATTGGCACAAAAGCTGTTGAAAACTGATTTTTGGTGTTTATTTGGATGCATGATTTATGGATTTTGCTTTGCTCAGAGCCACATGATGAGGAGTTGTGCTGCATCTTGTAGGTCAACTTTTGAGCCTGAATCTGCTGAGTTTTCTTGTGCTGGCCATGAGCTGTGAGCCTTGAGTTATCACTGATTTATTTTCCTTGCACTTCTCAGAGCCATCTAAGAAGAAATGTGATTTATGTTGGTTTTAGAAATGTTAGATGCATTTTCCATCAGCCTGAAAGTGGGAAAATGCATCCAGCCCCTGAAACAGCAGGAATTGAGAGTGACCCTAAGGAGCCAATTAACATCTCATATTAAAATTCCATATCCCACGAGGGGTTTTGGCTCAGAATCAGCACTTGGGAGTTGCAGCTCACCTTCTCCTCCAATTACCCATCTCCCCGTGGCTGTGGAACCTGGACTAATTAACAAAACATCCCTAATTGACTGACAGGTGACTGTTTGCAGCCAGGAAATAGAGTGGGACAGCAGAGCAGGGGGGTTCTGAGGGCATCACCTCTGGGTGAGGTGAAATTCCATTTCAGCTGGAATTCCACAGGTGAAACAGGGTGAGGATTTGTTAAAACATTTCTGGGTGTAGCAGCAGGGAATCATTTGGAAGTGCTGCCCGCTTCAGATGGATTTTAAAGGGAGCATTTAGGATGGTGATAATATTTTCCTGGCTGGAAGGGGCTGATTTCAGCAGCACAGGCAGATCTCAAAACCATTTATGCAAAGCCAGAGCAATGCTGAGCCTGCTGACCTCTTATATTTAGGACCAGCAAAGTTCCTGCTGCCCAAATTTAATTACAATTAACTTCTATTTGCATGGATCCTAAATTTATCCATGTGAGGGATAGTACATTACCTTTTCTACTGGTTTTTTGGTCTCATTGCTGATGTAATTCCCTCAGCCTCCACTGGTGCAGTCTTCCTTTGGATATTGGTGGTTTGTGCTCATGAAACTTTACCAAAAAGTAACTCAAACACACTTTTTAAAGTAAGCTGGACAGGAATTAGTGAGAAGGCTAACAGAGCCTTTGAGAGCTTGCTGTCTGCTCTTACAAATAACACAGATGCAGGTTGTTTCTGAGGCATTTGAATCCTTTAGATCCCCAGAAACTGAATGAGGAGCATTTCTTTTTGCTGCTTTTAGGTGGTATTTTTTTCCTACCAGTAACAAAGGGTCCTCCAAGCACAGATTTGAAGCTCTGAGTTTCTGTTTTGAAGAACTCCGAGGCAGTTCTGGTCACTTATCCATTCACTATTGTACACCAGGGCTTAAAAAAAAACCCTAAAAACCCCACAGGCACCCAGGGCTTCATCAGAGCTGGAGGATGTGAGCAGAAAGGAGGGCAGGGAGCCAGGTGCTGTGCCCTGGGAGGTGCACCTTGCCTTGGCACGCTGCCCTGGCATCCCAGAGGAGAGCGGGAACAGGAGGAGCCCGGGATGCTCAGAGCAGGGAGCCAGCACAGCTGGGAAAGTGCTGAAAGAAGCTGCCCCAGCCAAAAGCAAAGGGCTGCTGAGCTGCTTCTGAGCTTGGGAAAAGGAAGGACACCCAGCTGAGGATGGCTGGAATCCTCCCAGGCAGGATCCTCACCAAAGGCACTGCTGGTGGAGCTCCCTTCCCAGCGAGGGATTCCCAAGGGAGCTCCTGGAGGTTTTAGGAGAAGGCTGAACATTGTGCCCTGCCCTGGATGCATCTGGGGCTCTCTGGCAATCCTTCCTCTGGAGGTGTGAGTGCTGCCTGGAGGGTTGGGAGGTGCTGCCATGGTCCAGAAGCCCTGTCCTGGCACAGCATCCTGTGTGTGCCACCCCTGCGTCTCCTCCCTGAGGAAAAAACTTTCCCTCTGCAAATCCACGTAAGTTCTGTCTCTGCCATGCCTGGGTTGTGCTGAGAGGGAGCCACACTTCATTTTGGGGTAATAATCTCCTTTATGGGTGTTTTTAGCTGGAAGAATTTAGTGGGATGTGCTGGAAAGAGGCTGGGTGTGAGTTTAGGGCTTGGGCTGATTGCCTGGGTGAGGCACTTGTGTCGCTGTTTATGAAATCAGGAGAATTCCTCCTTCACATCACAGGAAAACAGAGCTGGGGAATTTAGTTTGAGTTGCTCAGATGCTGAAACACCACTTCTCTGTAAGTACAAATTCAGGCAGAGGCTTCAAATAATTGTGCTTGAGTTAAAATAATTCCAAGGCTGGGACTGAGGCACAGATTTGGGTGAGATGTGTGCACATAAGAGACCCCGCAATTACTGAAAGGAGACAAAGTTATGCATGAATTACCTTGAATTTCCACCAAATTAACCCCAGATTCATGAGCCTGTCCCTGCTTGATCCAAGGACTTGTTCTTTGTCTGAGGCACCCATCAGGTTTAAGGATGCAAAGTGTGTTTTAATTAAAAATTAAGCTACTGAACCAGAGGAAAAATTAGTCCTTAGACTCAGACTAAGGAGGAGAGAAACTGCTGAGGAGAGGAGAGCATGGAAAGCAAGGTTGGAAATGGAGGAGAGGGAAGTGAAAGGTAGTTTACAAGAGATAATCAAAAAAACTATTTACACAAAAACCCAAATAAATCAAAATTATTTACATTTACACTGCTGTAAATCCAAATGATTTACACAGAGATCATATCTAATGGAGGAAATGGGGAAGCACAGTTAACTTTAAGATCTCTGTCCCTGATATATCCTGCATGTCATTTTAGTTCCTTAATCTGTGCAGTTCCTAATTCTGCAGTTCCAGGGCTGCAGGGCTTACTGTTGCTCTGAGCAATCTCATAAAGATTTCTCAAAGAATGGATCAAAATTCACCAGACAGCTTTCAAGGGAATTAGGGGAAAGTTTGCAACAGAGACAAGTTGAAGAAATTCTGTTGGCTGCTTGAATTTTCCCAGGAAGTTGTGGGGAGAGCAGAAAAGAGGTCAAAGTTTGAAAATGGATAAATTCTATATTATTGATGTTCTTAGGGCTTGTTTATTCTGCATCTTTCTCCCTCTGTCCTTTTCCCTTTGGCACAGCATTCTGAGCCCCTTTTCCTGCAAAGATCCAGCCCAGATCCTCGGCAGGAAAGTCCTGATCCACTCAGACCCCTGAGCAGCTTTCACCCCTCACAGATGGATCATCTTCAGGGAGGTTTTTAAAACTCTTCTGCCAGGACTTGGAGGCTGCTGAGCTCTCACAGGCTCCCTGATCAGAGCCCTGGTGCTTTTGCAATCGCTTGGAATTGAGTTTGGATTTGAATCCAGCTCCAAACTCTGAGCCAGTTTGACTTAATATTAAATACAGAGTTTAACCAGACTGCTGGAAGGGGTTTTTTATTATAAAAAAGATGGTTAATATTTAGATCTTTTTTGCCCATCTCACCTCTGGCTGACAAGAGCAGCTTAAGCTCACCTTTGTTCCCCTTGGGTTGTGAGCCTGGCAGAGTCAGTGAATGAAAACACCACGTGCCCTCTGTTCCTCAGATGCCACCACTGTTCTTTTGGGGATTTTATTGAAAGTTCTGGACTTTTCTGGAGTGTTTCTGACTCTTGTGGGCTGGTTTAGCCAAGCTGAGGTCAGCCCTGCTGTGCTGTGCTGTCACTGGGTGCAGGGGAGGCCTGGCAGACATCAGCAGTGATGCTCAGCAACACGAGGAGGAGGTGCAGAGGTGGTTCAATGCCCCTCTTTCTCCTCCTCTGAGACTCTGGGCAGGCTCCATACCCTCCCTTCCTGTTCCCAAGAGCAGAGGTTTGTTGTGGAGCCACACTTCTCTTCCAGGCTGTGAGGAATGGGCACCCCATCAGCTCTGTGCCCTGAGAATGCTGGAATTCTCGGAATATTATAGTGGAGAACAAGCTGGGATGTTTTTTTGGGGCCTGTAACTTGCATATTTCTGTTATTTTCAATTACTCACACCAATTTCCATGGGAGTGAGTGACCCAAAGGTATTTCCCTGTGCTCCTGAGCCTCCAGGTGTGGCTCCCCTGCTTGGCAGTGCCCAGGCTTTGCCCTCAGCAGAGCCCTGCAGGGAGGCAGTGCCCGTGGTACAGATGGCTCCCATTTTAGCTTTGTTGCCCTGCTCAGGGCTGCTTTCCCAAGCAGTGAGGTGCCAACTGGCTGTGCAGAGCAGGGCTGCTCGTTGAGGGGATTAATTCAGATTTGTTCTGCTCGCTCCTCCTTCCGCCCGGTACCGAGCGCAGAGAAGGAGCCCCTTCTGAGAGGGGATGTGTGGCCACTCAGCCTGTTTGACTGCCTGAAAACGATCCAGTTGTTGGCCTAATCAAGGCCAAGACCAGGAAAGAGAGACAAAGCCATTGTGGGCTCCTGTTGCAGCACTGAAACTTCAGTCCTGCTATAAAATTCACCATCACAGAGTCGCACAGAACTTAACTGCTCCCAGCTTCCCCCAGCCTGAGCTGGGGCTGTCAAAGATGCACAGAA